CAGCCGAGGGCGGATCAGAGAGCAGAGAGAAGAAGACCAGAACCTGAACCCCCCACAACTCAGCTGGAGGAGCTGAGAGTTTAAGCCAGTGTCTCGCCACAAGTCCACACAACAAGAGACTGGGTCAGCGTGGTAAAACTCTCAATCCTGGTACCGTGGATGTTTTCTGTCTGCTGATCACACTGTTTTTGGCAGCAGTGAAACCCCAAATGTTCTTTTTTGTTAAATGTGAAAACAGAAAATGCCCTTTTTCCACCTCAGGAACCTTTTTAAAAGCTTAGGAACATAAACTCAGAGGTCTTGAGTCCACATCACTGCCCTCCTGAACTCTTTCTTTAAAGGGTTGGTTCGCACAAATCTAGCCATGCAGGTCATCTTGTTCTTCTTATAATTTATGTTTTGCCATCCCTTCACACAAAGCGATCCCAGTCCCGGCTGTTCTCATCTGTGACACCACGATGGTGGAACGAGCTACCACACGCCATCAGAGCAGGGGCGTCCCTCTCTAACTTCAAGAAGCTCTTGAAACCTCATCTCTTAAGAGAACACTGTCTCTTATAAAACCTCTAACTCCTTGTAGGTACCAAATCCGTGCTGCCTGCCAAACGGTCCTGTCTGTCAAAGAAGGTTCCCACTAATGTGCCTGTTCGTAATTACTCGCGTGTTGTTGTCTGTTCTCATCTCAGGGCGTCGGATACTGACACTTTCAGAAAGGCTGACAAAGCGTTATTTGATGCAAAAAGTACCAGGGGGCTCAATCAGGCCACGGGAGTGCCTTATCAGCATTTGTGAAATGGTGTGATTATAACTACCTGGACCTTAATGTGACAAAAACTAAGGAGTTAATCATTGATTTTAGGAAGAACCGTTTTAACCCAGAAGCCAGCATCACTCATGGAGAAAATGTTGAAACTGTAGAGACGTACTTAGGAACCATGTTAGACTCCAACCTCAAGTTTGACAAAAACACAGAGTCAATCGCTAAACTAAATTCTTTTAATGTTTCCCAGAGCATCTTATGCAACTTTTATTATTCATTTATTGAAAGTCTTTTAACATTTTCTTTTATCTGCAGGTTTTATGGATTATCTGCTCCAACATCAGTGGCGATCAGCTGACAGACCTGAGCTCCCTCTGGAAAAAAACAGGTGCTCCAGAAGGCTGGACAGGTCGTGAGTCATCCTGACCACGTTCTTAGTCAGGAATTCTGTTTAATGCCCTCAGGACGGCGCTACCTCGCCCCCCCAAGGAAAACTAACAGATATGCAAATTATTTTATTCCTTCTGCCATCAGGCTTTTAAATATTGCTGACAGCGGCAACTAGACATGTGCCAGGCATCGTAAACCTCTGTATTTATTACTTACTTATTATTATTATCTATTTATTTATTTATCTACTTGAAGTAGTCCATGTATTGTGACCTGTGTATTCGCTGCTTGCCCAAAATTTTAAATGTTTAACATGTTTATCGTCCTGCGTCCCAAAATCCATACACTCAATAATAATAATTTAAATACAGTATAAACTACAAACATCATCATCATCATAAAATCCTGTTTTAGCAGGTAATATAAAAAATATCACCACAGGAAATGATACAAGGCTTTATGCAACGTCAGACGTTATCAAACTGCAACTTTAATTAAGCAAGAAAACTTCACCAAAGAGACATCAAAGGTTTTTTTTAAAATTTAAAAATACTTATTTCTTTGTAAACTAATATTTTCTGGAGCTGTTTCACCATCACCCAGTATATTTAATTTTCTTTCAGCTTTGTGAAGCTCTTCCATTTCCTTTGCGTTGTGGTAAAATAGTATCCATCACCAACACACTCAGACATTGACTGTATTTACTTCGCATGGTGTCATTTTTTTCACACCCGACAAACTCAAAACCTGCTCAGAATTAGTGTTTAGTCTGGATTTGGGGACGTGAGGTTGATGTGGAGTTTTACAGGTGGTATTCATGTAGGCAGGTAAGATTGAAGTTTAGACCTGATGATGTTGTAAGTGCAGAAACACAAACACAACGAGGAAACGATAATTTCTCTGTGGCCTGACGAGAGAAAGAGGTCGCTTGGGGTCAGAAAAAAACTCTCTTTCCTCGCATTTGATATACTCTCTCTCAACCCCGAGCTTCCTCTCGGTTTATCGGTCACAGTGTCATCTATGAAGACACATGCAGAGATGCTGAAACACTGAGCTGATATGAAATCAGCCTTGTTAATACACCACTTATTGGTGGATAAGAAGCGATGCAACAGAAACTGGGGAGATGAAATCTGATCCTTGACACATAAAATTTTCCTTCATTGGGACTATACTATAAACATCTACTTTTATGTAGTGCATACGGCCCAAACTGACCCAAAACCATTTATAACAATGTAGAGACAGTGAACAGTGTTGCTTTGGAGGTTACCAATAAAAAGTTACCCTATTTAAAATTTAATTACTTTAGTGATGTAACATATTACATTTAATTACTTTTTGATTCCTTTTCAAGTTTTCTACTCTTAACCATTTTTACAAGACAGCTTGAGAGGTAATTTAACTGGCAGACGGGTGGCGCTGAAAATTCAAACATGAGAACCAATCAGAAGCATCAGAACAGCATCAAACTTTGTGGCTGGAAACGGCAAAGGAAGACAATGTGCAACAATGAGAAACATATAGCCGAGCTTTTTACAGAAAATATTTAGATGTAACATCCAATGTAATCATGTAACCTTTTCATATGTAACTGAATTTAATTACACATTTTTTTCCTCGAGACTCGAGGTGCGGGACTCAATCAACAATGTTTATTTTTAGGAAATGAGGTTTGTAACATGTTTATGTCATGCATGACTCCTGCATCTGTCACCTGAGTTTGAGACTGAGTGAGTGTGTTTCGATTTGTTTTTTCCTTTGGGTGGTGAGGCATGCTTGGTGTGTTTTTGTTCTGTTTCTCTTCCCTCCCTTCTCTCAGTTTTTTCAATCCTGGGCGTGTCGGGCTTCCTGAGTTGGCACTAGCTGCACCTGTTGGTAATCGCGCACCTTTCCTGATCTGCCATCCCTCCCTCTTCTTAAGGAGAGACCAGACTTCCATTCCCTGTCGGATTGTTAAGTCGTGTACCGTAGGTCTTGCCTTAGCGTCTAGCTTTAAGCCTGTTAATCAAGTAACCAGTTTGCTTTAAATAGTTTCTCTCCGCCTGTCTCCAGATCGCCTGCTCTACCTGCTCAGCCTGCCTGCCAGTTCCAAGTCTCTCGAAGTCCAAGATGCAACCCTTCCAGCCACAGTCCAGACAGCTTAGAAGGAAACTCCCTGCCACCTCACCCTGCCTAGTTTGCTCACTCTGCTTCAATCAATAAACTGCTGCATTGTCTCCGTGTCTGCATCTGGGTTCTAGTATAATTCCTGACAGTTTAGCTCAGCATTCGCCATCTAACGTTAGCTTGCTTGTTGCTTTAGCTACGACCTCCCAGAGGTTAACTCCAACTGTCGTTCGTTATGAATGAGCGTTTACTTGCCAAACTTGTGGTAGTCGATTAACGGGTTTGAGAGTCTGATGTGTTGACTTATAGTAGTTTATAAGCGGTCATTAGTTGTAGACGCATTGCACATCACATGGTTGTGCTCTGTAAGTGGAAAAACAGGTTACAGGTTTATTGTTGATCATGTAACGTTACAGTTTCATTTAGTTAACGTTACACTGGTTTGAGAGCCTGCAGTTGGAGTTGACTTACAGTCATTAATAAGCTTTTATTCTGTCATTAACTGCGTTGCACATTACATGGTTGTGCTGTGGAAAAACAGGTTACAGTTACAGAATCCCTTATAGCTATGCAGATTTTTAAGCAGCCTGGATTGAATGCAGCAGGCAACATTCATTATAACCACGAGAGACTTGAGACTTAACTTAGACTCTAGCTCAGAGACTTGTGAGCATCTTTGGTGCTTATGTTTCTTTCCCAACCTTTAATTTTGCCCGTGAGAACAAACTAAATCCAGCTAGGAGATATCTGATGGATTAATGTTTAGATTAGTAGTTTTATTATTTTCATTCAGACTCCTGATTTCTTGAAGCGTCATGAGTTCAGAAAACTGAAACCTGCTCCTAATTGTGTAATACTGACCTGACCTGTCAAAAGGAGGTTTTCTGTCTGCACCGCACACAATTTGCACAAACAAACAAACTGAAACTAATTCGTGGTCGGCTTTTTTCAAAACAGATCAGCCAAGTCTCGCCTGTTTCAAAAGTGGGTCTGTGGGTGGTTTGCATTGAAAGTGGGTTGAAACGGAGATAAGATCCTCTAATGTGCCTACACCACAGACATCTGTGATTTGCACTTATGAGAACGTTCTCCTCCGCACGTGGGACTTCACATGTAAACTTGTTCCGATTGAAAACACAAAAGGAAACCATTGTGGTATTAAACCCTGCACGCAGCATTTTGTAGATTTTTGTTTAACCAGGAAACACACCCGACGGTCCTTTAAGTGAGATTGCTTTGTCAACTGAAATGTAAAGTTTCCAATAAATAACCGGATGTCTGTTGCTAAAATTCAGGTTCCTTTCAAGTCAAAAACTGTATATAAATACAAAAAGATAATTGGTTTCTTCTTCTATTGGTTACTGTCTTAGATTGTCATGTTTCAAAATTACGTAATGCTATCAAGGAAACCTCCTAGGAAATTAGACAAGTACCATTTTAGCTTGTGAAAATGAAGCCATGTTGACCTGCGACCCTTTGTCTCTCCATGTCTCTTTTAAACATCTCTGATGGTTTTATTTGAATAACTGGATGAGGCTTGAAGAAGTAAAAATATCCCATATTTCACATAAGAAGCAAATATTAGAGTAAAATTAATTGGTTGTTTTTTTACTTTCTTTCTATCCCATGACCCCTTTTTATATTATTATTTTATGACCCACTGGTTCCTACCTAAATAAAGTGTTACTGATTATTTTGCATTAACTAACTAACAATATGATGATATGGATATGAAACCGAGCACACAGAGCTCAGATCAGAACACAAACCTTATCCTTTCCAGGTCACCAATCATCAGTACAAACATAACTTCATACAGAAGGTGACATACAGACGCTGAACTCACCTCACTGGGTTCATCTGTGTTGTTCGACCAGCAGGCGATGGTGATGGCGGGGTAGACGTCAGACCAACCGTTCTCTGTGCAGTTCCTGCTGAGGACACCTGGGACACACAGACATCACATTTTATTACATTAATTTTTAGCTGAAGCTTTAATCCAAAGCGACTTACAATTACCATATATGTCAAAGGCCGCACGCCTCTGGAGCAACCAGGGGTTAAGAGTCCTGCTCAGACACATCGGTGGTCGACGGTCTCCCACACAAACGGCATGTGTCTTATCCACTGCGCCATCGCCACCCACAGACAGACAAACAGGTTTGTTTGCACTACATATGTACTGCCTACTGCGTTTCATGGTTAGCAATGATGACCTGTTGTTGAGACTGCCTGATTAAATAAAGAAGTAAAGAGTGATTTGCATAATGGGACACAGTATATAAGGTAAAGGCGGTCCGATGCGTACTGGAGATTTATTCCAAATCAGTTTTTTTGCTTTTTCTTGCATACTGCGTTCTACACTTTGGCCAAATCAGTACATTCAGTTATTAAGCAGATGGTATCGAATACAGTCGGTCCTTTCCAGTTGCACCGGATGCATTATTTGTTAAAGTGGTTGAGGTTTCTTTGTTCAGTCTTGAATGAGTGCTTTGATTAAGATTTATTAGAGCACCTTTGTTTAAATAATGTTTTTATTTGCCTTTTAGCAGTTCAACTAGTTCAGTGGAAATCCTTTAAAAGGACAATAAACTGTAATCTCTGGTCTTCATGTTTCATGGCGTTTTAAATAACCAGCTACCACAAAGTCAAATTTCAACATCTAGGCTTATATATGTATATGGTGTGTTTAAAAAGCTTGCAACATGAGGCAACAAACTTGGAATAAAGAATAATAGGAGTTTTTCCCTGCTTTTCCCCCACTCTTAACAGCCCACACCTGACGGTTTCTAAAAATATTTGAGATGAAACCAGACTATGAAGGCACTAAAATGTATATTAACTTTAAAAACTACAATGGCAAGTTATTTTAATTTAGTTTTTACAGAATTCACAAAGACTGTCCGAACCGCACGTAACAACAACAACAAACAACTTACTTACTTACTTAATAGGAATCTCAGTGTAAATAAAGCGGAAGCATAGCAGGGGACTGGAAAAGGTCGGCCATATTGGAGGTCCTCGGCTGTTGGCAGCGGCTGCAGCAGATTGTGTTTCTTAACTGTCTTATTGTAAATACACTTGATTTGTGCTCTACAGCAGCGAGCTTGTTAATGAGGCTGCTGGCTAGCTGACAGTTTGTTAACGTTAACTGTGCTGAACTCTTCTCAGCAGACGAGTAAGGTGGCAAAGAGGGACCAACACACTGCAAAAACATACATATTACTGCTATTATTATTTCTGGTTGACTCTTTTTCTGTGGAGGAAAAACATTTGTGAAAGAGGGCACCAGCTCTAAAGAGACAACACGTTTAAATAAAGTATTTATGAGTGAAAACTGACAGCTGTATGTCTTAACGATGCTCTCATTCAGAAAGACTAATACATTGGCCTTTAAACACTAAAGTACAATCATTTAAGTTTATATTAAAGTCAAATTAGGGTTCTGTTGTTCCTGAAAGTTTAAAGCCAGACCATTTAGATTTACAGATGTGAACTGCCAGCAGCTACAGCAGCTGCTGAATGACTGAAGCTATACAGGTGTACAGTACTTGACCGGGAGACCTACTGGGAAAACTAATCTGCATCTGGAAAGTGGTGTTGGTGGGCCAGTAGGGGGCAGTCTTCCCTCTGGTCTTACTAAACAAACAACATCAAAAAAACATATTTTGCTATGCTGTAGGACAAGGGCTTTCTGAGACTGTGGGCCTACCCTCAGACAAAGCTTGGGAAAAGGCGTCCTCCTACCACCCCCTTAGTTTCACTCAATTCCTCCAGGGATCATGATTATGTTGTTTGATCCCGTAGAAACTCAACATATGAGCCAAGTTAGCCTAATTTTACTATTTGACATAACTTCAGACTACACTAAATTCATAAAAAAGGTCTTTCCTGAGACATTTATTGTTTCTGACTCTGATAAAGTGGGAAAACTACTTCCCAAAACTACTGTATCTCTTTTACCAAATCACACACATGTAGGCTACTCTATGTGATCTCCCTTTGATAACAAATGCAATAACTAACGTAATATTGTTTCACATCCATTCACTGAGCCTCTGTTGTAGGAGAAACCATCATTGGGAGGTGAAACCGAGGTCTAAAGATCCCATGAGTAGGGAGTTCAGAGTGAAAACACCTAACCCCCAGGGTAACTGGATTTTTGTTTCGCTCCCCGCCTCTCCACCTCAAGCTGATGTGTGGTGAGAGTTCTGGCACTAAATGGCTGCCATGCATCACCCAGGTGGATGCTACACATCAGTGGTGGTTAAGGTGAGTTTCTCTCTAAAGCGCTGTGGGTATCAAGATAAAGTGCTGTGTAAATGTAATCATCCACCCCACGACATCACATCAGATACAACAAGCAGCACGTTACACAACTTCCTCTTGATTAAACTGCAAATCAAGCCGACATGAACAACTGTAAATACGGAGAGAAAGTAAGCAAACAAGCTCCTTTGAAATTATAAGAAACCGATTGTTGGGGGCTGTATGGAGACTTCAGGATGACCTGCAAACACTGCTAAAAGCAAAGTACTTCACCGCCTGTGTAGATTTTCTAAACTATATATATTCCTTGTATTATATTTGATATATATCAGAAATGGGACGCATTTCTGTTGTTACTGCTTCTACAGGAGGCAAAACACAGAGGAAAAGTGAAGATGCAACTGATTTAACTTTAACAGCAGAGTTTGCTGTTGGCCAGCTAATTTCACAGTCTCTCGTGCACAGATGTTAATGTGTTGACAGAATATTTAACAGTCGCAGTCTCAGTCAGTGACTTCAGATGTTGAGCAGCCGCCGTTGTGCCGATCACACGCCTCATCTTTTAACCGACCTAATGCTTCCCACCTCTGCAGGGGCAGCAGGGAGGTGGATAAACCGAGCTGCTGACAGATGCTGCTGAGGGAAATCACGGAGAAAGTCGGCCAGCCCAGATGTCATCAGCTGCCCCGCGAATAATTAGACTCATTAACTGAAAGATCGTGAGCAGCGCAGGATGGAGGGAGGCGAGGAAAACACAGCGATGGAGGGAGGGGGGAAGGGTGAACCTTAACATGAAAAAACAATCACATCAGGAGTTATTTTTTTCTCAGTGAGCTCATTTGTCATTTTTTATTTTACAAAGACAAGAACAAACCCTCTTATACAGCCCACCTATTCAACACATACACTTCTCGAAATACAACAACAAGCTTGTTCTGTATTAGACTTTATTTTCATTACATTTCATTACATATTTCTTGTGAAGATTACAACATATTTACTCAAAATAGACGATAACGACTACTTCTCTATTTCCCACTTAGGCCCCATCCACACTGCTGCATTTTCAAATTAAAACGGAGACCTTTTGCTACGTTTGCACCTCCCGTCCAGACTAAAACAGCGAAGACGGGTGAAGACGGGCCAAAACGGAGGACTTTGGAAACGATGACACAGACGCTCACGCTCGGCTCTCTGATTGGGTCGTCATGCAAAGCAGAAAAACGATGCTTCTGACAGAGTTTTTGAGTTGGTATTTTTATTAAAATATTCTGTAATGCCAGCAAACAAACATTGCAGGTTTGAAACCAAACAACAGTGTTTCCCACACATAGGCTTTACTTGGGCGCCCAGGTAGATTAACAGCCGCCCAAGTAAATTTGGCGCCCCATTTTAAAATCGTTTTTTTGATTGCAGCGCTGTGCAGCACATATTCGCTCCACACATCCTCTCATTCGGTCGCTTTTTCTCTCTCGCTGAATCGCTGAATCTCAAGAAATGGCCTACTTTTACTAAGTGTAATAATATGTTAACAATTGTTAACGTTCATTAAATACATGCAGATCATTTATCACAATTGATGAACCCCACAAAGAATATAGTGGGTTTAAAAGCAGAACTTCAATGCATTTTCATGCAATTCTCGGCAGGCAAACAAAATTCGGCATAACCCCTCCGCCACAGTTACACTGCCAAACAATTTATATATACAGTATTTATATGTGAACAGAGATCATATTCGTTTATATGTATTGGCCCAAATGATGCTGCAGAGTGAGGGGCTTACAAACATAATCGTAAAGTCGCTGACTGGATGGGAGGCTCCCTGATTTCAAACAAGTATTTACGATTTGCAAGTTATGTGAAATACCAAGTCCCCGGTGTGTGGTCCTGCATCTTGACTGAATCATCTGGTGTGCGTTCTTATGTTTAAAAAACAAACAAAAAAACATTCTGTCGTTATGTCTGTGGTGTCCCACATTTTTAAAATTAGTAAAGATTTGAAAATCCTCTACTGAGCAGCAGGCAAAAAACACGTACCGTCCCTATTGCATTTATATTGAACATCTCTGCAAAGTGATCTTCACCCAAAACCAAGATCTTAGTTGCCTAAAACTGAACAGGTGAACCGCAGGATGCATGACAATCTCCAGTCACGTTTCCTGGACTGAACACATTCAGTGAACACAATCCAGGCAGCGATTGAGTTTTTACCAACACTGTATTTAACAAGGTGAATTAGCAGAGCGGTTATGAACGTCTCGGCGCGGCTCGTGGACTTTCTCTCTGACATATCCGCATGGATGAAGGCTCGCCACCTTCAACTAAACCTCTCTAAGACTGAACTCTTGGTCATTCCAGCCAAGCAATCTATCCACCATAACATCAAACTACAAATTTGCTCCTCAACCATCACTCCAACCAGGGTGGTGAGATTCATGATTGATAAAGAGCTGTAGTTTTAAGTTTCAAGACAGTAACGCTGCATGGAGAGCTACTACTGGGTCTGCACCATCTACCTACACTCCATAATACAAGCCTACGTTCCTTCTTGGTCACCGCGCACGCCACCCCTGAGATTACAAAGCAATCTCATCTCTTCCATGAACACTTCTACCTCTAACACGCACTTCCTGTGCTCTTCTACTTCTGTCCTGTATTGATTGCACTTCTTGTTTCTTTCCCTATGTTAATTAATGTGACAAGCGCTATTAGCTCTTACTGCTAAGGGCGGCTGTGGAGATAGAGCGGGTTGCTTGTTAATCGGGAACGTCGGCGGTTCGATCCCCTGTTCCTCCATGCTGCGTGTTGGTGTCCTTGGGCGAGATACTGAACCCCAAATTGCCCCTGGCTGTTCCACCAGTGTGTGAATGTTAGTTTCTGTTTGAGGCTCAGTGTATGAATGTGATTTAGTGTGAGTGGTCAAAAAGACTAGAGTGGCGCTGTACAGAGCGTTTACAATGTATTGTAGATCTGATGCTTGTATGTTGTTCCTTAAATGTAAGTCGCTTTGGATAAAAAGCGTCTGCCAAATGAGTAAATATATTTTGTAGGACGCAGTTGCTCTTTTTCGAGAGTCCTGGCCAAACCTGACCTTACTGTATTGCACCATGAAATAATCACACAGCCCCGCCAAAGTATTTACTAACCTAATCACTTTCTTTGTCAAAACTGTAATAACAAAGAACAACCACAAGGCAGATTATTTGTTTGTAGATATTCTATAAACAAAAGTGGCCAAAGACACTTTTCAGCTGTTTTGAATTAACATAAAACAAGTTGTATATCCCACAAAAATGCTTCAATTTCAATAACTCTTTTCTTAACAAAACAAATTTAGCAACTGTTAACACTTCTGGGAAAACTTTCTTTTTTCAAACTAAATATTTTAGTTTGGAAGGACAGAGAACAGAGGGAGTAAGAGGACAGCAACAGGTTGAGAAATGAGAGCTTTTACTTTGAAAAGTTCTAAAGATCTGCTTGACACACCTCTGAAAAAGTCGTGAGATTGGATTCCCCTGAATGAGAAACATTCAGAGACACTGGGGAAACGAAAATAAGATTATATGTATATATAAACCTATATGTGGACCAATCGTAAACTGATCTCTTCATAATCAATCTGTTAAAAAGGGAGAAAAATAATTCCAGCAGCAAGTGAACACACAACGCTTCAAACGGGAGTCCTATGTACTGCTGACTGAGCTAAACAGGTACAGTGATTATAAATGATAAATTCATGATCTTTGGCCCGACATCTAATGACTTGAAAAAAATTTAGCCCGATGCCAGACTTATTTGCAGACTCCTGGAGTAAGGGATGGCAGGTGAGAAAGGTTGCTCGATCAGAGGAGGATGATGCAAGAGGAAAGGGAAGCAGAGGGATGAAAGACCTGTCCAGATTACAGAAGCTCGAGAGGATCAAAAGACAAGAGGCATCGACGTGACAGATGAAGCAGAATGAGTCGACTGAAAGACGAGAGTTTGTGAAATTAGCTGTGAAAGGAAACTGCTGGGAGGAAGGAAACATCTGGCAGAGGTCACATGCAGCGCATTACCGTCGATTATTGCTACAACCCGTTTCTCTCTGGACCAGAAACTGAACAACCGCAAACCAAACAAGAGCGTGACACTGCTTAAGTTTGTTTGTTGGGCCAAGGAGCTAAAAAGGAGCTAAAAACTAGATCACAATCATCAACTTACAAGATACACGATACAACCTTTTACCACTTTTTCAAAATAAGAGCCCCATTTGAAAATTCGTGACAGATTGAGCGTTGCATTTTCCCTGATATGAACATTTACATCAGATATGACAATGACGTAGTGGAGAGAGAGAGTGTGTGTGTGTGTGTGTGTGTGTGTGTGTGTGTGTGTGTGTGTGTGTGTTGAAGCCTAAAACTCACCGTTTTTTCCAAACAGGTGCAGGAGGGAGGAGGGGCAGGGGAGGGTCACCGTCTCGTTGACCGCCGCGCTCTGCCAACAAGACACACTTTCCCACTCGCCGCGACATCCTGCACACACACACACACACATTGGAGGTATAAATTATATTGTTCACAACTTCCTGTTTGGCTGAGCTACTTGTTTGAATCTCACTGATCCTGTGCCTGCTGCTGAGCGAACAGTCGGCATATAAATCAACATAAAAGCAAATCTTAATCCTCTGAAGTTTTGACATTTGGCTCACGTGTTCACTCAGGAGGGAACAGAAACCCTTAAGTTAACACCTTACATGCCCTTTACTTACTTATTTCTCATACTAAGACTGAAATTAAGATTACTTTGGGGGGTAAAACATCAACATTTTATGCTTAAAAGACCAAAGTGCAGCTCTAAATGTTGTTAAAGCCTTTAATAACTTAATCTAAGGTGTATTTAATAGTGATGCACCAAATGTTGGGCCACTGAAATTAATTGGACAAAAATAGTAAAAATAGCCCTTAGGGTGTTCGAATCAATAAGTCAAAAGACCAATTAAATTTTACTGAACAATTACGTTGACATGTCGTGCAGTGTGGAAGCATTTTAAAGTGTCCAAGAAAGACTCGCCGTTAGGAGACGCTGTTCTGCTGAATTGTCTCCTAGCACATCCACTCCATCTGTGGCTGACTTCTTAGAAAAGAACCGCTTTGAGTGTTTCTGTCACTCGTTTCTGAGAAGGCAATAAAGCCAGCCGCACCTACATTTGGAGTGCACACGTATTCAAGCCTTTACGGTAAAGGCAGGTTAGAGACTTTATCCTGTCAGTTTCTCTCTTTACAAAGACAAGTTTTGCAGTATGAGAGTCCTACCTGAAGAGAGCCTGTGAAGTCTTCGTGTTACGCCGTACGAGAACAACATACAATTTTATTTTTTATCAAACTGACAACGTCCAGTTTTCAAAATAAGGTGTCTATACAGGATTAATTGGATTAAAATTCACAGAAAGTATAAAACAAATCGTATCCATTAAAAGTAAATGGACACGTGTAATTTACTTTACCGGACCCTCTCGTGCCTCAGACCCACCCACCATAGTCTCTGCAAATCCTGTGGGAAACACTGAGGGGGAAAAACTGTGAATGTACTTGTTCAGTGTTCTGCAAATCTTTTCTTTATTTAAGAATTTTCATTTCAGTGCATCCCTACAATTTAAGATAAGGTAAGATAAACTTTACTGATCCCACACTGGTTAAAGCAGCACTAGAGTCAAACGTATAAGAAAAGACTGTTTTAGGGAAATCTGTATAAAATAAAGCTGACAAACCAAAACTGTCTTTGAGTACGCTTATTTCACATTTGCTCAAGGCGATCAAGTGTCTCCACAGCCAAAAAGCAAAGACCTTCATGTGCATATTTTTATACACCAATATAGGGCTGTCACATAAAGGTCGCACATATTTCACTTTGTTTGTTTCAGGATACAGCATCCTGCAGTTGCCTCATCTTGACCACAGGTTCCTGTTACCTCACCTTTAAGTAGAAGTAGCAATGTAGAGATACTGTGAAACAAGTTGAGCACAAAGCAACACTCAAAACAGTTACTTTCCACCACCGATGAGAATAAGCTGCTATTTAAATGAGCTGATTTACCTGATGAAGTCTAAAAGAGGAATCAGATGGTGGTTTGTCTTTTAAAAAGGTCAAATGTCTTTGAGTCTAGCACACAGACAAACACACCCACACATGCATGAGAAAAAAAGTCCAAAAGCTGCAGATCACACAGATAAAACGCTTTTTTATTATCACTGAGGAGAAACATTCAATCATACATGACCTTTTAGAAAAACAGAACAGGCCAGTATTGCATGCACATGTATGTGTGTGTGTGTGTGTGTGTGCACTTCCTCACGACTCTGGAGTATTTGACCTGAGAGGTAAATAAGTGACTGATAGTGAGTGTGTTGCAACACAGGCCGAAATGGCGTGCAGACACACCTTTTTATACACATAACTGACCTCAGTCAATGCCCACACACACACACACACACACACACACACACACACCAAGAGGTGTGAGTGTGTGTGTTTCTATTCTGAGTATTTTCGCCTGCTTGCACATGCCAATAGTGTTAGTCACTGTAAAACTCTTGGTCCTGCATTCATATCACTTAAGAGCTTTACTGTGTGTGTGTGTGTGTGTTTCATGTTTTTATATCTGGGTGGGGACATCTGCCTGAATGCACACTAACCGATGGGGACAAATGTTGAGGTCCCTACAGGTAGAGCTTGCTTTTTGAGGGTTAAGACTTTGTTTTAGTGTTCAGGCCACAATCGGGTTAAGGTTAAGGTAAGAGGTTAGTGAACGCATTGTGTCAATGAGATGTCCCCATGGGGATAGAGGAACAAACGTGTGTGTGTGTGTGTGTGTGTGTGTGTGTGTGTACCTGTGCTAGCAGGCGTCTGTTGCTGCAGTTGTGTCTGACAGTCTCTCCTGGCTTGCTGCATCTCCCAGTGGAACTGGCAGTGAGGAAACTTTCCATTAACCTGTCGGGACGAGAGGAAATAAATATTATGAGTATTATCTCCAACATGAACAAACCTCCTGCGTCAGTCAGAAGTTCACTCTCAGGTTCTACGTGTCTCAGGCTTTCACGCTCGTGTTTGATAAACGTGCTTCAAGTTTTCTGGACTAAAGTTCATGTTTTTGTAATCTGCAACTTTTCAGGGAGATAACTGCAGATAAATGAGAAATTCTTGCCCCTGTGCGCCCAAAGGCCGTATTTCATTTATTCATTTTAGTTGTTTGTGCCACTGCTTTACTTTAAAATTATAACGTGTACCATATAGCCATCAAGCCTGTGCTGAAAAGTTAGTTTTAATTCAGAAATGTTTTAAATCATTCAATCCTGCCTGGAGAAAAACAACTGAACCCCCCCCAGGCTACAACTTAAGCATTGTTCATTTTAAGCTTATATTTGTTTACATTTAGCTATTAGCCGTCCCTGTTGGCAACGTACACATGTATGTACAGACGACTATCACAGGATAACTCTGATGGTGAAGAAAATCTAAAAACGTGATGATCCTCCGGCGCAGGTGCGTCTTTTTTCTGTGACTGAGCACATGTATGGAAATTTCTCTGTGATCAGATCAAGTTAAAAAAAAAAAAGTATATATATTTATTTTTTTAACTTTTTAACTGACATATGTATATATTTACTTATTTATTTACTTAAATAACCACCCACAGCACCATATACAAGTCGCGATATGACTGAAGGTGCAATAAAAATATTAAGATATGTTATTATCTAAGCAGCGCAGTGTCCGTGTTACACCAGTGAACATGCCTGAAGTCACTCTTGAAAGTGACGGCTTTTAAATCAGTCGCTCTCCCCTTAAACACACTTAAACACAGCATGCATCTGTCTTCTTTTCACTGCAACTTGATGTAATGTTAAATGTTTATTACTTTAAAAAGTAACAGTGGCAGTAAAACTGTCATGATTAGGCTTCGCCTCCTCCCCCTCCCTTGTGTTTTCTCTGGTGTCAGTCCTGTCTGTCAGGTCCTGTGTTTGTGTGTGTGTGTGTGTGGGCGCGTCCGGTCCAGGCTCATCGCCACCTGCAGCTTCTCGCACCTGTGGCTCATCAACAATCAACTCCTGCAGTGAAATACTCTGGTTCAGCTCCCACTCTTCACCAGTTTGTCTGTTTGCCTCCTATGGTAAATTGCTCCGGGCCAAACGCTCCTAGTTTTGTGGAGTATTTTGTGATCTGTGCCTAACGTCCTGTTTCCATCTGACACAGTTATTCCCGTGTGCTGAGTCGTTACCTGCCTGCTAGCCTGTCACCCGCCGGCCGATCTGTCCGCCATGTACAGTGCTCTGGAACAACATTGTCAGCTCTCTCCCCAGCCCTCCGGCTTTTCCTGTGCGCTTTGTTAATAAACCCTGCCTGAGTTGTGATCATCTGCCTTGTGTCCGCTTCTGAATCCTTTTAGTGAAACAAACCTTTTCTCATACTGTGATGGTTAAACTTTGCAATCAGTCCACAGTTCAGTGGTCACGTCAGTTCATGTCAGTGCTGGACTATGGCGATGTTATGTACATGCATGCATCCATTCAAAGCCTGAAACTGCTGGACACTGTTTACCACGGAGCTCTGAGGTTCATCACAGACTTCAGAGCCCTTACTCATCATTGCTCCTTGTATGAGCGGGTTGGTTGGTCTGCATTGTCCACCCGTAGACTTAATCATTGGCACATTCTTTTTTACAAGGCTATTTTTGGTCTGCTTCCCCCATGCCTACAAACCTACTTCAAAAAGAAAAGCACAGGAAGATATTGTCTTCGTTCTGAGGACTTATTACTGTTATCTGTCCCTCAGGTTCGGACTGAATTGGGAAAAGGGGCTTTTAAGTAAGCAGCTCCTTGTGCTTGGAATCAGCTGCAAAATGTCCTGAATCTTCAGGAGCTGGTTTCACTGGTTGCTTTTAAAGTACTTTTAAATGACATAGAGGCTGTGCACACTGGCTGTAGATGTTTATTACTTAAAATATAAATATTTAATATTTATATTAAAATATTTTATGACCTTGTAACTCACTAATTATTCCCATCCTCAATTGTTAGATGTTTTACATTTATGTTATATGTTTTAATGTCTGCAACCTTGTTAATTGTGCTGCTGTCTGTCTTGGCCACGACGCTCTTGGAAAAGAGATTTTTAATCTCAATGAGTTTCTTTCTGGTTAAATAAAGGTAAAAAAAGAAAAGATGAATGGAAAACGAGGGGGAGAGGTGTTCTTTCCACAGCCGTAAGTATCACGATTATTGTGTCACAATCTAAGATGCAAAGAACATTGTCGTCCGTGGTAAACCAGCAAAAAGCTTTCAACCGTGAACAAATCTGCATTTAATTTAGTGAAGCATCTGCTAAAGCAGCACAGCAATGGGAGAGAGCGGCGTTTAGCAACGTTTTATGTTTTGTAAAAACCCTGAATACTGCTCTGATAAATGCATGTGCAAGAAAACAGTAGTTAAAAATTTACTTGCTTTGTTTTTTGTTTCAGACGGTGGCATTAAGAAACATTATATGTTTTGTAAAAACCACAGCCTAATCCTTGCTGCTTATATGAATATGCTATTAGTTCAAAAGGTGGGAGTCGGGAGAGACTGCTTGCTGTCGTGGGGCAAGCACGAAAGTAATACAGTAACGTAACTAGTTACTTTTATCACCCACTAATAGGGCTGAACGATTAATTGCATTTGCAATATTATCGCAATGTGATCAAATGAGATTTTCTAATGAAAAGGCTGCGATTACACTCTGGTCACATGACACCCAAGAGTACAGCAGTCTGCACGTAACGCTGTCCCCATTACTTGTTTTTTACAATGCCCTTAAGCTTGACAGCTGGACTCCGGTGGTGAATTACTAAGCTGGTCTATTAAACACGAGAGGCGTCACTTGGTTTTATTTTCATTGGCCAACTTTTGAATTGAACCTCAAACTGAGTATTTTTGGAGGTTTTTGAGATAGACTCATTAATTGGTGGATGAACTGTGGGTTTTGTATTGAGCGCTTACTGTATTACGCACTGTGGTGAACTTAGTTTTTCTTGTGGTGTGTAGGCCAACCTGATGATCCATCCATCCATCGTCAACCGCTTATCCTGCGTACATCGGGCGCAAGGCGGGGTACACCCTGGACAGGTCGCCAGTCCATCGCAGGGCCACACATAAGGACAATTTAGGGTCACCAATCAACCTAGCCTGCATGTCTTTGGATGGTGGGAGGAAGCCGGAGCACCCGGAGAGAACCCACGCAGACACGGGGAGAACATGCAAACTCCACACAGAAAGGCTGGAGCAACCGGGGTTTGAACCCACGAGGCGACAGTGCTAACCACCGCCCAACCTGATGATACTATATCATATTTTTCAATGCCATGACCAGATTCAAATTATCTTTCTCATATTATTAAAATTTGATACTTACTTGATACTCCACCATTGCTCATAATAATAATTCATGCATCACCTAATTTCATCATAACACAGGCCCGACCCACAAGAAACAACAGTGTGTGTTTAATCTATCTAATATTGTGTTGGTCATACTGTACACTGATTTACTGCTTGTCCGTTTTGAATAATACAGGCGGTAAAGAGATAAAAAAATGTATTGCATGTTAATCGTAATCGCAATATTGGTTGAAAAAAAAATTATTATTTTCCAAAATCCAAAGTAATATTATTACTTAACTAGAAACTTATTGCCCAACACTGTCCGTGATGCACGGCGATCGTAATGATCTGCAGAACTCAGAGATGGCGTGTTATTTTTGACAGTAATCATGGCAATCTGGTTTTGAAGTACTACAACTGCCTCTGCTGCTTCTGCTGACTGTGTAGATAAAAAGACCACATTTCATCAAGTAAATTAACTAGTAAGTGACTGCGACCGATTTGGGGGAAACTTGAAGATACAGAAATAAATATCCCATCTGCTTTTTGTTGACAAGAATGAGCTCTTATGCCCAACAAAGCTTTTATGTTCGTGGTGTTTCCTGGCAGTGAGGACAGTTCAGAGTAACGCAAGAGGCTCAGCCCAACAACAGCCACAGCACAGAAGAGCCAACTCCTCAGGCCAAGACTCACTGTTTACATACATTTGAAGGGAGTGGTATCCATCACGTTGATAACGACCTCGCAGAGGTTGAACAGCTGGGATTCCCGTCCCAGTCAATCAGAACTAAAGAAGAAGCCCCTTGGATGAGACCACAGACTGTATATAAGAAGTGGACGTAGTCATTTTGACGTCACCTGCTGGTTTGTCGGCTTCCGTTTTGAAACCTCGAGTTTGGGCGTCGCCATGTTGAGTTTTTTTCAACCAGCAGCACCGGACGTGACCATATTTGGACGAGACGGTGGAGCTAACGGCCGTGTGCGGAGCTAGCTAGCTTGCTTAGCTAGGTGCATCTGTAATTCACGTTAACTAAACATTTTAACCGGGCTGATAACTTTGTCGAGCGAACAACAGTCTTAAAACTAATCATACTCTGATTTATGGTCTATTTTCCTCTAAATGGGACCATAATTCACTAAATGAACATCATGTTGTGTTGAAGAAGACTTGAAACTAGCGACTGAGATCATAAACTCATCAGGAAAGTGTTTACTGAGGGAATAAATCAGCTGAGAAGTAGAAACATTTTCCCATTATTTCTAATGGAAACTGACTTCTTTTTGCAACCAGAAGAGTCGCCCCCTGCTGGATTTTCAATATAATGCAGGTTTGAAGGACTTCCGCATTGGATTTGCGTCCCGCTTGGATGAGAGGCTAAAAGTCTCCAGGTGCTCTTGATTTAAACCGTCCTTGGATACTGTCAGCGAGGGTAAAACAGCCACTAACAAAGTTATTTTTAGACTTCTGTTCCCACTCTGCAGTTATTTGGCTTCATACCTTGTTTTTTTGTTGAAATTTAATGAACATTTTATTGGACCTTCTAGGGCGTAACCTCGGTGTGCTTGGCTTTCTAC